TCATGTCTGTTACAGCTACTGTGAGTATTTATATGTTTGTACTAAACGTCACTTATTCGATGAGGGGGAAACTGTACCCTACCTTGCATTTTCAGCAGGCCTATTATAGTGATCAGCCGAATGACTGCTTTGCAATTACATGTAAAGTTCAAAACGTCTGCATCATTCATGGGGGATTTAATGAGTTTACTGTTGCTTGGTGAAAAAGGGCAATAACAGATAGGAACAGTAAAGAGTTGAATCTCACTCAATTGTCTGTACAGGCTCCCCTACAGTCAGGAAGGAGACAAAGATAACAAAAAACAGACTTATTCATCTCCTATCGGGCCTAACTAAGCTATGGAATTAATCTGCTGATTCTCAGGTTCAAAATGAATCCAAACTTTTCTATGGATGTTAGTTTTTGAGCCTCAAGGGAGTTCAGGACAGGACCCAATAGCAAGACCACAAGACAGGATTCAGATACAGAACAGACTTTATTTACACTGGACAGAAGGCAGGATCGATGGTGTGGTTTCCGGTGGACCGACACCGGAAGGCAGGCGGGATCACCTGTGTGGATCCCTTGGTCTGACACAGGATGACAGGCAGGATTGACGGTGTGGTTTCCTGTGGACCGACACTGGAAGCAGGCAAACTAATAGACACAGGGTTGGAAGACGGTACGGGGTTGGAGATGGCGGTAGACGGTACGGACTGACAACCCAGGACTGCAGTACCAGGGTTGATATACTGCCAGGAGGATCATTAGTGGGATCAGGATCAGGTGTGTCAGCCTGCAGGAGGCAATCAGCTGGAGTGTCCGCAGCTTCAGGGGTGTGACCATGGGAGGTGTCTGGAGGCAGGTAGAGGAAGAACACTGAACACATGGCATACAATAACAAAACGGGAATGACAGGGATCCTGACAGCCTCGACAAAGGGCAAAGTGTGGCTTGTTTTTAGGTGAGCCGATTGCCGAAAATATCTTTTGCTCCTGAAACAGTTGTTGATTGAAAGTTTTTCAAAACTCGTCAAAATAAGAAGTCCTTGAGCATACAGTGATGAATGAGCACAAAATATATCCGCTAGATGGCTCCACTAGTATGCAAGATTAGCCATGGACAGACAGACAGATGCACACACACAGGACCGAACGCATGATCTCCTCACAGGTTTCCGCATGGCGGACATAGTGATATACCACATAACATTCACTTAATATACTGATATGTACACATCATTTCAGGTAAACAGAACTATTTCTCACTGACCTTGTTGCCCATCTGTAAACTGACCCATAAGATGTTCTATCTAAATATAGGGGCAGCAGGGTTGCCCACAGGCTAACGGGTAACATCTAGAAAGCTGTTCTCTTGCTGTGAGCTGAAGTGCAACTGGGTTCAGCCTTGGTAACCCCACAGTATACGGTCCATCACTGCAAAGTGCACTTCAGCAAGCCCCAAAGCACTTCAGCAGCACTGCACAGCACACAGCCGTGCACCTTGACCCCTGAGAAGAACTGTACGAGCTTGAGGCTGTGTCAGCACCCATTAAAGGGACACTCTGAACATTTAGTGGTGCATTTCCATAAACCTTGTGGTCAACGATATATTCCTCTTTCAAAGTAATAGGGGGATATTCTCATTGACATCCTTAAACATCATGGAGGCAGGCAGCTCACAACAATGTTCTGGGTTTTAGGGGAAATGAAGGAACCTAAATGACCTGAACAATTAGAGTGGAGGGAAGCTGAAATGAATTATTACATTAGACTTGTGGTTAATGACTCAGAGAGACACTTCTAAACAGCAGACAATTCCTTGTGCAAAGAAAAGACATGGTTTCAGGAAAGACATATTTCTCATGGTGATGTCTGAGAGAGGGAAGGAGCGTATCAGCTGTATTCAGAGTGTGTCCTATCCATCACTTCATTTACAGTGATACTATGGTCCTCTGTTACCCACATGTATGTATGTACCGTTTGGCAGCATTTGTTTTTGTGTCTTTACTGTAAAATACAAAGCAGAGAGCAGAGTCTTCCAACTGTCATCATTTTGTGTTCTTCAAACCGTAGATGGTAATAATCTTTTTTTTAACATTCTGTAACATCTTGCATGCAAAACAATGAAGACAAAGAGGTGTTGAGTGAAAGTAGGACAATGATGAGGGAAAACAGCCATGACTCAGCATGAGAGACTGGCAGCTGAAGAGTGAAGACAAGAGAGAGAGAGAAAAAAGAATCTGGTTGCATTGTGTCGGGAATGTGTGTGTGTGTGTGTGTGTGTGTGTGTGTGTGTGTGTGTGTGTGTAAATTCAGCAATCCACGTATGCTTTACTTCTTTATAGAGCCGGAAATAGCCAGTGCGGTTAATGCGTGCTTGTTCATTATTCATGATCTCCACCATTACACCGACATCGGCCCAGCGCCACAAATGTGTGTCCTCAAAACAACAGCTTGAGTGTAAAGCACTGCATTTTCTTTCCAGGTGCACATTGAACATGTTGCATGTGTCTCAGCACAGCCTGCTCTCCTAATACTGAATGAAGCTGCTCTTTCAATTATGTTTCCAGGGAAACGTATTTTCTTCCAAATTACTTTTGTTTTTGTAGTATCTCAAATGTGTATTTTTAATCAAAGTCCGAATGGGGAGGGTTCGGGCAGATGGAGGGGTCAAACCAACACGTAGCATTACTTACACATGTACTAGCCAATAGAATTTAGTTGAGTGAGAAGGTCATTTTTATTTTTGTTAGTAATATGTCTGTGAATCCACTCCGAGTTCTTGCTGTAGGCCTGACAGTCTATGCTTCAGGACCATGGACAGATGCATCATATTTGCTGTGTAGCTGCAGCAGCAGGCTAGATCATGTTGTACTTCATCAAAATATATAGAGGTATTCCAACAGGAAATAGCAGATACTTATATACAATAAACATTTAGAGACGGTGGAAACGAGAGGTTTACTATTTACTGGTGCTAACACGACCGTTTGTCGAACCTCAGATTCAAGAGGAGCAATGCGGATTCCGTCCCGGCCGTGGAACAGTGGACCAGCTCTTTACCCTCGCAAGACTACTGGAGGGGTTCTGGGAGGTTGCCCAACCAGTCTACATGTGCTTTGTGGACTTGGAGAAGGCTTTCGACTGGGTCCCTCGGGGGTTCTTGTGGGGGGTGCTGCGGGAGTATGGGGTGCCGGACCCATTACAACGGGCGATCCGGTCTCTGTACGACTGCAGTAGGAGCTGTGTCCGCATTCTCGGCAATAAGTCAGACACGTTCCCGGTGGGTGTTGGCCTCCGCCAGGGCTGCCCTTTGTCTCCAGTCCTGTTCGTGACTTTCATGGACAGGATATCTAGGCGCAGCCGGGGGGTGGAGAACGTCAGGTTCGGGGGTCTCGGGATCGCCTCTCTGCTGTTTGCAGATGATGTGGTCCTGTTAGCCTCCTCGGATCGTGACCTCCAGCATTCATTGGGGCGGTTTGCAGCAGAGTGTGAAGCAGCGGGGACGAGAGTTAGCACCTCCAAATCTGAGGCCATGGTGCTCTGCCGGAAACCGGTGGATTGCTCCCTCCAGGTGGGGACGGAGTGCCTATCTCAAGCGAAGGAGTTCAAGTATCTCGGGGTCTTGTTCACGAGTGAGAGTAAGATGGAGCGGGAGATCGACAGACGGATCGGTGCGGCTGCAGCAGTAAAGCAGGCGCTGCACCGGACCGTCTTGGTGAAGAGGGAGCTGAGCCGGAAGGCAAAGCTCTCAATTTACCACTCGGTCTACGTTCCTACCCTCACCTATGGTCACGAACTTTGGGTCATGACCGAAAGGACAAGGTCGCGGCTACAAGCGGCCGAAATGAGCTTCCTCCGTAGGGTGGCCGGGCTCAGCCTTAGAGATAGGGTAAGGAGCTCAGTCATCAGGAGGGAGCTTGGAGTCGAGCCGCTACTCCGCGTCGAAAGGAGTCAGCTGAGGTGGTTCGGGCATCTAATTAGGATGCCTCCTGGACGCCTCCCACTAGAGGTTTTCCAGGCACGTCCAACTGGGAAGAGACCCCGGGGAAGACCCAGAACACACTGGAGGGATTACATCTCCCAGATGGCCTGGGAACGCCTCAGGATCCCCCAGAATGAGCTGGAACATGTTGCCGGTGAGAGGGAGGTCTGGGTCAGCCTGCTTGGCCTGTTGCCACCGCGACCCGACCCCGGATAAGCGGAGGAAAATGGATGGATGGATGGATGGATGGTGCTAACAGCCAATGTTGTTTAATGTTACTGGGGGGCAGCTAAACTAACTATTGTCATTTTATAAAAGAAGTTATTCTGTAAGAGGCCGTAATCTGATATCATGCTGAAAGTAGTTCACGGCTCTGCAGCTCCTCTCCTAACGGCTCACGTTGCTGTTCATTTCCTATCTCAACAAATCAACAAACAGGCCTATGACTTGTTTCCTAGACATTCTGCTGGTGAACAACGTTCTGCTGGTGAACGATACTTTTGTGACTATGTGACCAAGCTTTTTGATCCGTATCAGCCAGTTGGTTTCCACTGTCCAGTATTTAGAGGGTGTGAGTGTGTTATGGGGGCCTCAGCGGGGGGGGGGGCACATGTGCATCGACCCTTTAAGACACATCCACTCCCACCAACAGCAAGCGTAGCCCAGGGAGCCGCAGATGCTGTCGTCCTCTCCTTGCGTAACCATGGTGACAGTCCCTTCAGCGACGTGTTGTCTGCTTGCCTCACTGTCAAAATACACACACACACACACACACACTCACAGGCTGAAGAGGCGGGTTTTGGGCAGTGGGACCTGTTTGATAAACTGCTGACACAGCAGAGTGACAGATTCAGGTTTTCAGTGTGTTTGTCATTTATTCTGTCGGTCTGGGATTCAACCTTATGTCAGACACGTCATACCTGGAAATGTGTTTATAAGACATTTCAGCAGTGAAAGCTTGACAGGATAATGAGCTAATCCGTCGTGTTTGTTGATTGGCGATGATGCTTATTGTGCTTTTTATCTCTTTTAGGTCCAGGGATGATGTCGTCAAAGATGTCATCAGGTGGACGCCAAGACCCACCAGGACAGCCTGCCTTCGGCTCTGACTACCTGTCTGGTGAGGGTGGCGGGAGTGTGTTTCCCCTGTCGTATAGAAGAAGTTTGCACATAAGTTTGAGTTAGCGGCCCATCAGACCTGTAGGTCAGTCTGACAAATCACTCACCAGTTGTGACTCTTTTCTGGGCACAGCCTTCCATGTGTTTAATGTATACTCACAAGCAAAAAAAGTTTCACAAGGACCTAGCAAACCGCTTTATACTGAAGTAACTCCGTTGTGAGACTAGCAAATTGGTCTCGGCTTTCAAAAACTGTAGACCCAACCTCGTAAGGGAATAGTCACATTCTTCATGTGGTCACTGTAGCTCAAAGACCTAAGACTTGACTTGGACTTGCAGAGGATGACGCGAGCATCTCTGGCTCGTGGACCTTGTTTTTTGTACAAGATGTCACCAGTAACAATACTTATGGCTCCGTTCTGTTCACGTGTCCCAGTCAGCCATGACAGTGTACCAGGACACTGAAACTGAAGCAGCTTCATGGAATTCAGCCATCATTCCTTTCATTGAGGTCTCTCCCTCGTTTCTCCCCATTAAAGGGTTTATCCTGTTCCGATGTGAGGGTTCAGGGACAGAGGATGTCGTTGGTGTACAGATTGTAAAGCCCTCTGAGGCAAATTTGTAGTTATATATTTTAGGCTATATAAAAATATATTGAATTGAATTATTTATACCCGTGTTTTTCCCACTGTGACATGTCAAAATGGCCAATACATGTTCTATATTCAGGTGCTTTGTGTGATTCCATTTAACTTAACATACTGCAGGCACACATTTGAATAAGTCTAACATTAGCATTTGTTTCTATGTTCTGCTGGCTCCTTTCATTCTCCTCCCCATTTTGACTTTCTCTCACTGTCCTCTCTGATTCTCCCATTTCACTTCCCCTGGTCACTCTTCCATTTCTCTCTCTCTGTCTGTCTCTCTCTCTCTTTCTCTCTGTCTGTCTGTCTGTCTGTGTCTCTCTCTCTCTTTCAGGTCCTATGATGGGTGGGAGGACAGATCAATGGAGCATGAACAAGACAAAGGACAACAGCATGCCTGACTCATTTCTAGGTCCTCTTTACTTTTTCATCTCCTGTGTCTTTTTTTACCTCTGATGTCACATTATCCGTCCTCACTCCCTGTTCATGTGCTTATAAAAACATTATCTAGTGACAAACAAGTGAAACATTATTGTGATTAATGAGATATTTTGTGTGGAAATCATCCTGGAGGGCAATCTATGAAAACAAACCTTTGACGCAAGCTGCTGCTTTGTAGTTGTTCAGCACTGCTGGGTGATAAAGCTCCACACAGGCTGCATACAGATTAACCATTTAACAGTATTTTGAATCAGCTTTGCATCAAGTTTTTTCATTTCTAAAAAAATCAATCTGGTACCTCACCACTATAATTACAGCTTCCTAACAGTAGTCCATAGTAGTCTGTTGGTGATGTCTCTCTGTGTTCGTCTCTCCATCAGGCTTTTCTCAGTCTGGGATGGGAGGGACCGTGGGGTCCGGCCTGCCACCGTTCCAGACCAGTATGAGCACCACTCTCGGCCAGACTGGGATGGGTTCGGCCATGGACACCCAGAAGAGTTTGGGTCTATTTGGCGTGGACAACAAAACCACCAGCAACACCAGTGGAAGCAGTCCGTTTAAAACCAGCGATCTGTTTTCGTCTGGCGGCCCGGGAATCCACTCCATGGATCACTCTACAGGTATCAGAAGGAGGGGGGGGGGGTTGCATGTTGTTACTGTGTGCTGGTGGCAGCAGGGGGAGGGGGGAGTCAGGAGAATGAGGAGAGAGGAGGAACTTGCGGTACACGTACTGTGGTTTTGGGGTGACGATAAAGGTTACAGCTAGGGCCCTGGCCAGATTGAAACAAAACTAAATCCTGGTCATATCCTCAATTTCATTTATCAAAATATCAAATTTGATGCTTATTTTTCTAGAAAGTTGCCATGGGTTTGTGTAGGAGGACAGCAGGGGCGGGTGGTGACAGGAGAAGATCCTCACACAGGACCTGCTCTCAGCAGCAGAGGGCAACCTCTCCCACTGTAGGTGGAAACAGATCCAGCCTCACTGCTCTACGCTCCGTGCACTCAGCTGTTCTCTACATCTACTGACAAACTGGATCAACAGACAGATGGGTCTCATGCAGACAGTGATGAACACAGGACAACCCATAGTGTCATGTCTTCTGTAGTCACTGCAGTCTGACTGCTCCACATTGCATGTCTAGCTGCCTTATATCCTGAATTGTTAATGTTTATAATAATCATTAGCAGCTCGAGTCAATAACAGCTGAACGTTAACTGAATTTTGTGGTTGCCGAGCAACAAAAACACAAACCCACAGGAGGATTTAACGGTAAAGGCAAAGCAGCCTTCCGTGCCGTTTGCAGTCTTCCTGTGTAATTTTCCTAAAAGCCAGATATCACATTCTGTAATAAGCAATGCTGCAAACAGTTATTTCATCAGCTGAACAGTAATGTCGGCGTGAAATAGATTTTATCAGCAGGGTCCTTAAAATGAACTTTTAAAATGACTCAGCATCTGAGTTTTGATAGTGCAGAACTTATGAAACATTTAGCAAGCTCTTATTCAGGGTTTTGTATTTGATCTCTTCTCCCTTCTGTTGTGTTGGTGTGCTAAAGATAGCCCAGTACAGGCTGGTTGTTACGTAACACTTACTATCCGAGTTCATTACAGGGAATAGAAAGCAGGCATGATTTGAGGAGAGATTGTTTGTTACACAATGCTGTTGGGTAACTGTTGTCTTTAGATTTAGAATTGTTTGAGCATAAAGATATTAGGTAGCACTTCCTGTCTGTAATGCATTATAATCATAACTAGAAGTTGTTATAATCTGCTCTGAATAATATCATAATATAATCACAGTGTTATAATTCCCAGAGTTGTAATACATTGTATTATTTCTATAATACATCATAACCATTGTAAAAATGCATTATAATGTGATTATAAGTTAGACTAAATGTAGATTGTTTGATTGAAGTGAAAAAGATATCCTTAAATCTAATTGTGAACAATAAGTTACAATGACTTATAATCACATTATAATGCATTGTAACTCGGGGTGTAACGATACATCAATCCAGATTGATATGTAGATTCAATGATCAACAATCCAATATCTTCGATGAAAACCAATACATAACAGCTTTAAGATACGCCTTTATTTTGAAATTCCCATGACTAGCCTGTGTCACCATTTCCATCCAAGCTGACCTCTGACCTCTTTCCTACAGAGCCCAGCTACACAAATAGTCTCATCATAGGTCAGTTGCTTTTTGTGAGTATAAAAGTAACTATAAATCTAATAAATGATCCATGAATGCTTGATAATACCAGTGATGATAATGCAGTATTATGATACTTGACCTTATAAGTCATTATAAATGTATCAGCATGTGTTATGATTATTGTTGTTGAGTGCTTATAACTATAATTATACAGCAGATTATAAGGCATTCAAGATCTCCGGACTACCCATTCCATTTCAGGGAAGACAAGGCAGTGATGTAACCACATGCTGCTATTTTAAATGCTGTGCTTAGCTAACCGCTCCATCACACAAAATACCTGCAGACATTCTGTAAATGTGCCAATCCGGTTACATCATCTGGACAACAGCAAGCTTTGGATAACTAACCCCAATCTTTGATCCTATAGACGTTAAGTACAGTTTAGAGGTACTTGTACTTTACTCAAGTACTTCCATTTTATGCTATTTTATACTTCTACCCCACTACATTTTGGAGGCAAATATTTTACTTTTTATTGCACTGCATTTATTTGTTAACTTTAGTTTCTTTACAGATTTAGATCATTAATCCAAAAATATAAATCAACTAATAATGTATTAAAGGTTAAGCTACCAGCAATATATAAAGTAATTAAATGAGCTTAAAGTGAATAACACATTAATGCATCCATTCAATAATCTAATAATATAAAATACATTATTCTATATTGGGTCAATCTGCATAACAAGTAACTATAATTAAGGTACTTTTCGTGTATTTTGTTGCTATTACTTTTTTACTTTTACATAAGTACCCGTTTGAATGCAGAGCTTTTACTTGTAACAGACATTGTAGTATCTGAGTATCTCCACCCACAGCTTGAGAACTACCTTTGCAAAGGTGCACCATGTTTTTATCACGAGCCAATCAGAGCAGACTAAGCTTTTTTTGGGAGGGGGTCTTAAAGAGACAGGCGATTAAATAGAGCGTTTCAGACAAAGGGTGAATACAGGTATATTCAGACAGACAGAATGAGAAAATGTTTTCTTTTTAACATAAAAGCATGTAAACAAACATGTTCTAGTCGGACCCTAAAATACAAGTATGAACCTGAAAATGATTATGATATGTCCCCTTTAAGTAACATATCTGAGTGCTTCTTCCACCACTGCACAAAAGTAATGAGGGAGAAATTCTGATAATCTCAAGAAGTGCTCCGCCCCCTTAGCTCAGAATGCAGAATTAGCCATTAGCTCCAGCTATCTGTTAGAGCCCTCGATGTGATATGGTGCAAAGCACTGGGAGGTGATGGTTTTGTCCAGAACCTGTTGAGGATGTAATAATTAATATATCACCCAGAATGAGGGAGTACAGATGTTACTAATACCCTTAACAATGGCTCTGTTCTAGGACAAGATGCAGCATGCACACCATCAGAACATAAACCATGAAAAGAGGCCTATACTCCCCTAAAAGCAACTCATCCAGTGATACTGAAGTCATTTGTTGTTGTCCTAGTTGCTTGTAAACATCATATGAGATATCTTCGGTAAAGTCTTCTGATATCAACACCGCTGATGGGGGCAGTTCACATTTCAAAGATGTTCGAATGTATTTCTCTTTCTTAAAGCTTTAATAAGAGGAGTTGAGTATGAGTAGTCCAATCCTGTTGCCAGGCAGAAAGAGTCATGACAGGTCATGCATTTCAGCTTCCTAATGTTTCACATCACTGGGTATCTAATGAAGCAACCAGTCATAAAACGTCATGGATGAGTCGGTGCTCTGTTGGGCCAAATGGTTCCACAAGAACCAAAATATGTTTGCTGCCGATTGGATTGTGTCTAAAATGAAAGTTTATAGGAACAATTCGGGGGAAAATATGAGAAACACAAGTAGCTGCTTTATGAATCTTAATAATTTCGTCAATAAGCCTTTTTTCCCCCCTCCCTTAAAGTCCTCTACACACCTGCTCCTCTGTCTGTGCAGTCTAACTCTCACACGCAGTTCTTTTGCATCGGCAACGTGTTTGAGGCAGCCAGCGCTCCGACATTAACGGTTCCCTTGGCAGTTAGCCAGAGCCCAGATTAAGATGTACTCTCCATTAAATACCTTATCACATTAAATATAGACGATAATGCCCCGGGCCTGTCTCCTCCTCCAGCTGTTTATAGCTGGGCAAGCATCGGAGGCCAAAAAGAGGAAAATAGCTTCAATCAACTTAAACAGGGCAAAGGTGGCCAATTTCAAGGGAAGGGTGCACCCGCATCTGGATTCACATCAATATCAGGTGATGTAAGGCAGATTGAGGAGATGAGAGGATGAAAACTGAGGTAGAGGAAGAGGAATTTAGACAGAAAGGGGGCATGACACGCAGACTGAGAGGGTTGTATAGGTGGGAGTTTTATTCCCTCCGTCTGTTCATCTCTCTCTCTCATTCTCTCTGAGCTGATGACATGCTTGTCAGAAATAATTGAGAAATATTGCCTCAGAGGGAAAACTGTGATGACTTCATTCCCCAAACAAGAGGAGATAGTGGGAGCAGACAAACGAAGGGATCATTGTTTTCTCTTTGTTTGTTAAAGCTTGCATGTGCACAGTTTGTCACAGCGTTGTGATTCAGTTACATATTCCATATGTTATCCTGCATGTGGGACAATGATCCATTTATTGCCAGGGTTCTTCACACATGCATGCATTTTATTTTGAATCATGCATGCTAAGGTGCTTGCTTTATTTAGCGTGTTCATTTGCTTCAGAGCTTTATTGCTGGAGGTGTGTCTGTTTTGCTCTGCTGTGTGTGCCTGCTCTCTACACAAGACATGAGGTCATGCGTCATGGTGATGTTTAATAAGAGAGGAGTCAAACATATTTTACACATTGAGAGAATCATACATTATATTCATTTCTGGGCTGAAAAGTGCTATCTTAACAAACACAGTCCATTCCAGACTCCATTTAGAATTGTCAGCATTGGAAATGTACACAATATGATATGGCCAGCCAATGGATCTTTCCACTGTTATTTCCTCTCATTCTACTTTATTAATATACAGTAGAATGATCCCGTAATGTCCAAAAGCAACTGTATTGAACCTGTTGTAAGGATGTAAAGTGTGGATAAGCACTAGACCTCCAGTCACAGTGAGCTTTTGGTCCTTTGAAGTTACCATAAAAAATTGGCAAATTGGAATGAAAACAGTGTTTTATATGAAATGTGAATTAACAGTTAATTCAAACCACGCTGGCAGAGAGGAGACGCAACCAAGCAGATAAATGAAAGAAACTCTTCTCACTCAGTGCTGGACCATTATGGTGCTTTAAAACAGCACCTGAAATATCTGTCTTAGTTATCCACATTCCAATCCAGTGCCTTTACTGAAATATAGAAAGTCTGTAACAGGTGAGTAAATGACACGTTGAATGTATTTATAAAAGCAGGCGCCATCACATACATTGTGTTTTATGAAACTTTCAAAAGTTTTTGCCAAAAGGAGCCTAAAAGTGATCCGATTGTGGTTAATATGGCTGTAAACCACTAGCAGATGTCCCACTAGTGGGGATGAGCTATATGCTGTGGTCATTTCTGGTAAGAGGCATGCATTATGTTTGTAGTGAGAACAGAGCTTGCCTTCGAGTTATTGTACTCATAACTCACGATTGAATACAAATTTTCCCAGATACCCACATTCAGACAAACTCGTAGAAGCCTTTGATCTTGATTGGGAGATAATCCTAGTTTTACTGAATCAATGGTCGTCTATAGGATCAAAGTAGCTCCCTTAAAGGGGACATCACATGCTCATTTTCTAGTTCATACATGTTTTATTGTTTGTATTTGAGGTCTCTACTAGAACATGTTTACATTCTTTAATATTCAAGAAATCACATTCTTTTTTTGAATATACAGACTGTCTCTTTAAGACCCCCTCCTGAAAAAGCACTGCTCTGGTTGGCTTCCAAAAAAAAAGGAATGGCGCACCTTTGCAGAGGTAGTTCTCAAGCCGTGGGTGGAGATGTTCAGATGGGAGGGGGTTTCATGATATGTCCACTTTAAAAGAGCATTCCACTGATTTATCAGCGCTTGATGGACGTTTATTTATTTATTTACATTTGAATTTGACTGGGACCACGAATAATAGAGATCTGCTCTAACGTCTTCTGAATCTGCTGGTATTCATAAATCATATCTCTAAGTTAGAGACCCACACCCTCATGGACATGTCACTCCCCCTCTAACAATCCCTGTAGACTATGTTGCTTTTAAAATGATGTAGAGTATGAGTGTTCTTTAACAAATTGCTGTAATGATTAGAGAGGCTGCTTTCAGTCATTATTAAAGTTTCCACGTGCACAGCCAAGTCCACTGCAGCGAATATAGTGGGACATTTATGCAGCAAAACTAAAAACTATAGTTATAAAGTTGATAGACGAAACGGAAACAAACGTTTACTTTCTCAAATAATCGATGAAGTTTAGCTGCTGTAAATGCATCCAGCGTCTCTCTTAATGGGGTCGCTGTCTGCTGCAGAGCACCAGCTCTGTTCTGCTCTCTGCTATGTTCACATATTAGAGAATGGAATAAATATTTTTCTCATCAAGTAATTAACATTTCACCCACACTTTATTAATCACAATGTTACTTTTTATGACCCAACCCGTCCAATCTGCTTGTGGATATAAATACGTACGATAAAGATACATTTCACTATTTGAAATCACATTCATTAGAGATACAGTTCAAAGTTCATTTTCATTCACAGTCCCCGGGTAAGATTCCACGCAGCTCCCTCTGGAGACACGAACGGCTTTATACAACTTTGTCACATATGCAGCAGTGCTCCCCAACGTCTGTAAACAGACTTTGATGGAGTCCCCCTTTAAGAAATACTACCTCATGTTTATATGTGCAAACAATCTAAGGGACTGCATGAAGCCTCTAAGTAAGCACGCCCGACTCTTTACAAATACTGGCACATTTACTAGGAGTGGCCTAGTCCCAAGTACCCTTACTGTTGTTGTAACTCTAACCTATTGATGAGACCAGTCTTTACACTCCTTTACTGCCATGAAACAGTAAACAATTTACACATGAAGTAGTGACAACCATCAACGATGACAACAATCTGATGGCTTTTCGGCAGCTGATTCTCTGACACAGTATGTGATTGGTTCCTCCTCTTATAAAACCCTCCCCCCCACCCCTCGGCAGCTCCCATCCTCTCTCCCAGCGGCTCAATGGACGACAGCAGTCCCACCTCCTCCGACCCCCTCAGCCCCGAGAGAGTGGGGCCGGGGGGCGAGGCTAGCAAGGGAGAACAGAGGCGGCGGAAGAAGAAGAGGAAGGGCCGTGACCACGTCTACGACTTCTTGGCAAGCCAGAAGAATAATGTCGGCCAATCAGACAAGGATGGGATGCAGGATAAGGGCGGACCGGAGGCGGAGGAGGACGAGGAGGAGGACGAGGAGGAGAACTGGGAGTTGGAGATCAGAGAGAGTGGAGGAGGGGGTAGGGTGAAAGGCAGGAAGACTAAGAGTCGGGCAAGACTTCCAGAGGAGTGGGGAGTGCCCCAGCAGCCCAGCTCTCCTGCGCCGGCTGCAGTCGCTCCCACCTGGGCTACAACTGCCAACTCTGGTCCTTTTGACTCCAAAGCTCCAGATTCAAAGCCCAGCCCTGTTTTGCCCTCTGCCCCTGCACAAATACCCACCAGTTTCACCAACCGTTCCCATGCTAGCCTTGTAACAGATGCATCTCCACGCTCTTATGAGCCGATGTGTGTAGACGATTTCCCCTTGTCTGATAAAGATGGTCCAAAAGCAAATCAAGGGAATGTTTCGGCGAGCAAACCTGAACATAACAGCACAACGGCTAGTGTTGCCATCAAGAGTAGTCCAGCTGGGGATGTTGGTGGTTGTCTAGCATTGATGACCGGGGAAAATCTGAGCACCGTCTCCCAGACCTTCTCCTTCCTGGATTCAGTCCTCCAGACCTCTCCTGACTCGCAGACCACCACCCCTATTACCAACACCCCTTCCCTTGCTACGACTGCCCTGACTAAGTCCACCCCAACAGAAATCCCTGCTTTACAAGCCACTTCTGTTTTCAACCCTTTCAAGATCACTCCAGACCTCCCTCTCCCTCCTACTTCCGCTTTGTCCACCAAGCCATCACCATTAGCTTCTGTAGGAACACGCCCTCCAACAACTGTGGTGGGATCAGCCCTCAACGTCGATGCCAAGCCGTTTGTCCCCATGGCCACACTCTTGTCCTCCACAGCCACACCCAGTTTGACTGCAGCTACCGCCTCCGCTACCACTTCAGCCACGCCCCTTATCCCCTCAGCTTCTCCCTGTAAGAAGGAAGCCACCCCCACAGCACCGTCAGTCACTCCCCCCAAAAGTGTAGCCACACCCTTTAGCTCAGCAACAGTCACTTCCCCACCACCCATCACCCCCACAGCCCCTCCTTCTCTCCCTGCACACTCAGAGCACCAGGAGTCCTCGCCGACACAGCTTCCCCCACTGGAAGGTTGGTGAACTACAGGGAAGATTATAATTAACATGGGGCAAATTTGAATAAAATCATTGTAGGCTAGGCTAGCAGGAAGTAGCTACTTTTTGTCTTCCTCTATGCATGGCTCTTTGTCTGTGGATTGAGCGCCAGGCCTGCTTGGTGCTTGATCCTTTCCTTTAGGTATTTGTAATAACCAGGGCTCGAGACATAAATGCAGAGCAGCTCAATTTTTAATCTGATCCAAACACAAATTTTCTCTTTATCACCATTCAAATTTTTTACCAGAGAAACATTTGTGTCCAGATATATCACTCTTCCCAGCTGTTGGCAAGAGTATGTGACACAAATGTACTGTGCTGGTCAGGCCCTACATTAACTGATAAGTTGTCTGATTTGACTTCCATCTGCCTGCCTCTGTGTTCCTGTTACCATGATCATAACAATGTTATCACTTGACCTGCTGCTTCTGATAGCTCTACTATCTTTGCTTGCTCCACTGTCTACTGTTTCATATGACTGTCAGCTGCCCGTGCAACGTCACACTATCTCCTCTCTGTCTATAGAAACACACACATGACCTGGGTCCTTGCATGGCGAAGCTAGTTTCCTAATGCCTTTTAGCTTCCTAGAGTCAATAATGTTATCGTTGTTATAGGTTATGGTAGTGTGGTAGTAGAGAAGTTAAAAAGTAGACACGACCGTGACCAAGACAAGTGAATTGGTTTACCAATAAAACAAAACATGGTCTAGGTTGGTGAGGCACAACCTGCTGGTTTATTGTGTCTATATTTTGTGTTTCTATTGCAACTGTTTATAATGTATGTGACGACATTTAGAGACTCAATATTAAGTTTTCTGTAGAAGCACAAATGCTATTTGTAAGAGACTTTAGGACATTTAGAATAAGCAGCACATCTGACACATGCTACTCACTTAAAACTAGATTAGAATAAGATAATAAATCCAAAACACTCCAGTCAGCTATCATGTGAATTTGTACACCCATTTTGAATGTTATCAGCCGATAGAATGGGAGTTATCAGTGGTTATCACTACCTAACCTAAAGATTTGTGTTAAAATAAGTAAGTTTGTTAAAACTTATTTAACTTGGCTTTAGTGAAGTAGACAAGTAAGGTTAATGAAGTCTTTCGGTTTCACACGGGACAAGGAAGTAGCCCTCACCAGCGCCCCGCGCAGACTTCATGCTCTTTATACTGTGTCAACTGACTTTCTCCTCTGATCTCCTCATCATTTTTTGCGGCCACAAGAGGTCAGGGTCGACTTTTTGGATTCCTATCGGTGATCAACCATGTGAATAGACAATAAGGAGTAGCAGGCCCCTTCTAACCCAAAACTGTGAGGCTGTTGATTCATTCGGCTGATAACATCTGAAGAGGGTGATTCTTTAAACTATACAATATTTGAACCTATTAGACAAGAGTTGCAGTTTGACAAAAATATCTCTTAGCTCATTCTCCCCTTGGTAGATATCTTCCAATATACAACCACCTGTCAGTGACTATAGCTCCATGCTTGAGTCAGATGATGACAACTGAACCACCTCCATAAAAACAGAGTAACAACTACACAATGAAGGTCACAAGATGTTGCTGAAAGCTATGGAAGACATTCAATTAGGGAACTTCACATATTTCTGTCACACTGTCACTGTATTGTCAAGGTTAAGAATAAACCCTCAAGCTCAGGGTTAAAGAATCTCAATTTTAACCGCTTTTGATCTTGATCCTGCAATGCAAAGATCCAGAGCAGTTTCTAGGTTTTTGCGCTTGATCCTGTTCAAAACGTAGTCCTGGTTAGAATCTGTTATCCAAAAGGAAAAATAAAATCGCCGTCAAATATCAGGGTTTCCCCCAGTAGTGAACTGCAGACTGTTGACAAGTCGAAACAAGTTATGTGTGTGAGATAACTGTGACAGATATGGCTGAGAGACAACCGTGTAGTAGCCAGCAGTGTAACGTCTGCTCTTTTGGCCTGCCTGGCCTGTCGTACGCTGGGGTAAACCCTGAGATGACCTCAGTCTGATGCTTCCTCCTCCTGATGATTTCTATCTGTGGTGACATCCCCACAGTCTGCTGAACGAAGCTTTACTTTTACAGTGTGATTCTATCTATGCTTCTCCTCAGACTTGTCTCACTACTACAACCTGACCCAATACTCAACACCGTGTGTGAAATGTGTGTTAACTTGATCTATTAATCAAATGTGACTCTGTAGCTCTGACTTCCAATTTAGGATGCCGTAGTCCTTTATCCGGACATAGTGGCATCTCTAACGTGTCCTGTAGTCTCTAAAATGTCCCGTAGTCTCTGACACGTCCTGTAACTTTCAGAAAGTCTAACTGGAGTTTTGAAGCACATCAATGATTTATATTTTCTATTAGAAGTTTTTAGGTATGGTTTGAGTTGATATTGGATGCTAAGGTGTCTTTTAATGCATTGAAGCTGATTCAGAACTGGCTGACCATTGTCTCTCCCTCCCCCCCCTTTCCTTGTTTTCTGTTTCATAACGACACCAATCATGCGGCTTTGATCAACAGGTAAGACATGTTTCTCTTTTTCCAGTTTGTTTTGTTGGATTCTCATATGGAACTTTGTTGGACACCCCTGACCCTACAGTGGTATAATAATACTGCGATTGTGTGGTGAATAGTTATTTCATTTGCACACAAACCTCTTGGGGTTTGAAAAATGAAGGTTATTAACACGGTCTAGTATGTTTCTCTTTTTCAAACGGAGGCTCCGGTCCGGTACAAATTGAGCCTTTAATATTTATTAGCCCATAAAGTGGCAAACGCTATGTTTGTGGTACAGTTTGTAATAATCATAACCTTTTAAACTTGCTGCTTTTAAGCACTGCACTGCACTTCTCAAAAATCTCGACCATTTTTTGTTGATAAAGGTCATTTCTGTGGAATTATGCTGTCAATGTTAATATCTATGCTGTTATTTGGTACATCGCAAATATACTGCAAGCATTAAACGCATCATTCAATTTTTCTATGAAAGTTTGAATCAGTGTGGCATCACCTTTAGAAACACCTTTTCCTCACTTAGGATATTTTATTAGACATTTATCCATCCATCCATCCATTTTCCTCCGCTTATCCGGGGTCGGGTTGCGGTGGCAGCAGGCCAAGCAGGCTGACCCAGACCTCCCTCTCACCGGCAACATGTTCCAGCTCGTTCTGGGGGATCCCGAGGCGTTCCCAGGCCAGCTGGGAGATGTAATCTCTCCAGTGTGTTCTGGGTCTTCCCCGGGGTCTCTTCCCAGTTGGACGTGCCTGGAAAACCTCCAGTGGGAGGCGTCCATGAGGCATCCTAATTAGATGCCCGAACCACCTCAGCTGACTCCTTTCGACGCGAAGGAGTAGCGGCTCGACTCCAAGCTCCCTCCTGATGACCGAGCTCCTTACCCTATCTCTAAGGCTGAGCCCGGCCACCCAACGGAGGAAGCTCATTTCGGCCGCTTTTAGCCGTGACCTTGTCCTTTCGTTCACGACCCAGAGTTCGTGACCATAGGTGAGGGTAGGAACATAGACCGAGTGGTAAATTGAGAGCTTTGCCTTCCGGCTCAGCTCCCTCTTCACCAAGACGGTCCGGTGCAGCGCCTGCTTTACTGCTGCAGCCGCACCGATCCACCTGTTGATCTCCCGCTCCATCTTACCCTCACTCGTGAACAAGACCCCGAGATACTTAAACTCCTTCGCTTGAGGTAGGCACTCCGTCCCCACCTGGAGGGAGCAATCCACCGGTTTCCGGCAGAGAACCATGGCCTCAGATTTGGAGGTGCTAACTCTCATCCCCGCCGCTTCACACTCGGCTGCAAACCGCCCCAGTGAATGCTGGAGGTCATGATCCGAGGAGGCTAACAGGACCACATCATCTGCAAACAGCAGAGAGGCGATCCCGAGACAACCGAACCTGACGTTCTCCGCCCCAAGGCTGCGCCTAGATATCCTGTCCGTGAAAGTCACGAACAGGACCGGTGACAAAGGGCAGCCCTGGCGGAGGCCAACACCCACCGGGAACGTGTCTGACTTATTACCGAGAATGCGGACAAAGCTCCTACTGCAGTCGTACAGAGACCGGATCGCCCGTTGTAATAGGTCCGGCACCCCATACTCCCGCAGTACCCCCCACAAGAACCCCCGAGGGACCCAGTCGAAAGCCTTCTCCAAGTCCACAAAGCACATATAGACTGGTTGGGCAAACTCCCAGAACCCCTCCAGTAGTTTTGCGAGGGTAAAGAGCTGGTCCACTGTTCCACGGCCGGGACGGAATCCGCACTGCTCCTCTTGAATCCGAAGTTCCACAAGCGGTCGGAGCCTCCTTTCCAGCACCCTGGCATAAGCCTTCCCCGGGAGGCTGAGTAGTGTGATACCCCGGTAATTCGAGCACACTCTCCGGTCCCTCTTTTTGAAGATAGGAACCACCACCCCGGTCTGCCATTCCATGGGCACTGATCCCGACCCCCATGCGACATTGAAGAGGCGTGTCAGCCAGGACAGCCCAACTATGTCCAGCGCTTTCAGCATCTCAGGGCGGATCTCATCCACCCCAGGCGCCTTGCCACCAAGGAGCTTTTTGACTACCTCAGCGACCTCTGCCAGGGATATGGGTGAGCCTCCCCCTAGGTCCTCAGGCGCTGCCTCCTCTGCAGAGGACATGTTGGTCGGGTTTAGGAGTTCCTCAAAGTGCTCTTTCCACCGCCCGACGATGTCCCCCGTCCGGGTTAGCAGTTCCCCCCTGCTGAGAACAGCCTGGGGTAAGCCCTGCTTTCCCTTCCTGAGCCGTCGGATGGTTTGCCAGAACCTCCTTGAGGCCAACCAAAAGTCCTTCTCCATGGCCTCCCCGAACTCCTCCCATGTCCGAATTTTAGCATTCGCGACCACCGCAGCTGCAGCCCTTCTGGCCTGCCGGTACCTGTCAGCTGCTTCAGGAGACCCCTGGGCCAACCAGGCCTTGAAGGTCTCCTTCAGCTTGACGGCTTCCCT